ATGGTAATTATCTTTTGTTTTGTCAAGGATATAGTCAAACTTGTGATAAAATTCGGATTTTAATGACCCAAAACGATTTAGGTAAGAATCCTTAAGCAAAACAGCAAGAAATCCCGAAAATCACTCTGACAGACGCTCTGACTCGCCTAGTCCCCTTATGGACTCGTCGAGTTCATCCTACTCGTCGAGTCCACAATGGGACTCACCGAGTCTGTCAGTCAGGGGGCTGAAAAAAACGATTTTTCAAGGCGTGAACAAATAAACAATGCATCAATTCAATAGAAATCAATCAAAGCTCTGATACCACTGATGGGTTTGAGCCATAAGAACTTTCCTATGTGCACATGCAAACCCTAATGCTTGGATCTAGGTTTCTCTAATTGAACATGCAATTTATCCAAGTCTTGCAAACCCTAGATCTAGTGTATACAATTCAAATTTGATATAAGAAACTCAGATCTAGATGATTACCTCTTGTTGCTTGCTTGAATCTTCTTGTTCTTGGAGCTTAGAGTCACAATTGTCACTCCTCTAATGGCTTACAAACACCAACTAGCAAGAGGATGATTTGGAGAGAGGTTGTAGGCACAAAATCGGCTCTAGGAACTCCTTAGGGTTTCTGGTAGCCGATTTCTGTAGCCCTTGGAGTCTTTAAATACTTGAGCTGCTAGGGTTACATCCTGAAACCCTAATTGGATAACTTAGGCCTTAAGAAGTCCAAAGATCCTTCTAGATTGAGGCTTGGACGAATTCAAGGAGTCCATACACCTTAATTTCGTCCACCCTATAATCCATAAGGATCCATAGCCCAAAAACCAACTATCAGACAATTGACAGTTTCAGTCCCCTTTATTTAATTAATCTCTTTTAGTCACCAAATTAATTCTTAATTAATCTATGACCAATATTAATTAAATAATATAATTATTCCTTTAATATATTATTCTCATCATATATTAATATAATAATATCTTCTCTCTTTTCATAAATCACCCTGTCAAGTTACGGGTTTAGACACTAATCCAACACAACAAACATACTAGCATGCATAACAGGCCTACAATCATCAGATTTGAATACCCTGGCCCAATCCGTCATCGGACTGGAATGCCAACATGCAACGGGTCCAACTAGTCATCGGACTGGAATACCCAGGGTTTGTTGGCCTGCCGCCTCAACCCAACCACTCTTCCGAGCCTCCGTGCCTACGGCTTGCAGCCGGCCCACACCAGGTATCTTGGCCTATAACACACAGTAGGATCGCCTCAACCTCAACCACTACCATATGTCGACATATAAACAAACAAGGATCAAAGTAGGCACATAATACAAGCAAAATCAATCATATAGTTCGCTACCGCCTACTAGATCTCTCACAACACACTACTCCGCTACCAGCTAACCTCCATGGAATGCGTAACCATAAGTAACCACAGGTGAGATAGCCAACTGAACAGATGATCATACGTTAGAGCTACAAGCAAACAAGGATCAGGCAAGAAAGAAAAGATCAGGAGTTCTCAGGCTATCCTACATGACTACGTACAGTCCCTAGGACACTCCACTAAACGATAACCTACCTACTGGTACTCTAACCAGTATACCACTGCTGCTGCATCCTATCACGCCAGGATATATATATATATATATATATATATATATATATATATATATATATATATATATATATATATACCAGATCACTACAACATATCAACATCCTATATACAAGGATACATGACTAACATTGAAAGGAATGTGTAACCATATGTCACCAGAGGCGAGATAGACACTCGGATAGATGATCCTACTCTAGAGCCACAACCAAAAAAGGAACAGGCAGGAAAGCCTAGATCAAGAGTCCTCAATCTATCGTATGTGACTACATACATTACTAGAGGTGAGACACACTTCCCTTTCTGAACTACTTGCTCCAGTGAATCCACTAATCACCAAAACCAGGTAAAATATTAATTAACAGTCCAAAACCCTCAAGTTTGACCCAAGGTCAAACTTAGTAAAAAACTCAATGGTCAACGGAAGTCAACAAAAGTCAATGTCCAAGGCAGGCTGAGTACGCCCCGCATACTCCAAACCACGCTCTGTGTACGTGATTCAAGCCTAGTACGTTAAGCTTACTCCCAGGTACTCCCAACGCACGCTAGCTGATTCCAACTTTCCCATTAAGAACTTTATCCCTTAAGACCTTTTGTCCAGAGTTCAGTTCTAGGTCCAAATTAACATCCTAAATCATAATGTTTCCAACTTTATAAGTTTGCATCGCTAGGAAGAGTCCAAATCCAAAACCCTAACTTATCATGAGATTTTAAGCTTCATAACACATTCATGAATGGAAGGAAAAGATCAAGATTGTATTTTTATGACTTAACACCCTCATATACACCTGGAAATGCACCTCACAAGATCTGGAACAACCCACACTCAAATGGACCAATTTGTGGGACAAAAAGGGCATAACTTTAATACCTAAGCTAGATCTATCAATGGAGGCATAAAGGTACAAACTTTATATCTTCTAAAGATGAATGAGGGATGAGAACTTCCAGATCCAAAGTTGCTTCAAGCTTCCAAGCACCATGACCACCTTCGTCTTCCTTCAAAGGCACCAAAAAGCACACTATTTAGTCACAAGGCTCAAACTAGGGCTAGGGTTTCAAGAGAGGGCGCTGGAGAGATGGAGGCTGAGAATGGAAGAGGTTTAGAGGAGTTAGGGAGCTTAAATATGACTCAAAACCCCAGATTTAGGGTTTGGGTTCTGATCGCCTATGCCCTGCATACCAAATGGTACGCCCTGCATACGTTCTTGAAGGCGCGACTTTGAGATGCTGGTACGCCCAACGTACCACCCTCTTTCCAAATGCAACACACTTTCAAACTATCACAACTTCTTCGTTTCTACTTCGATTTTGGTGTTCTTTATATGCACGAAAAGGTATTGAAGATCCCCACAATATTATCTAGATATCTTTGACTAAAAACTTCTCGAAGTAAAACATGTAATTCATGCAAGAACCCGGTCTATGACTTTTCCCTTTTTTCCCTTTGGCCCAAAACACAATTAAGGGTTTAGATCTCACAACCATCATTATCACCTCCCAAAGAGCCTAACTTTACCCCCCCCCCCCCCCCCCTTAAGGCCCAATGCCTTTACACAATCGACTTTCGACCCACGGACCTGAATTAAGAAATGAACGGAAACAGAATGTTACATTAAATGAGATAAAAAAATGTTTTAATAGGGTTATTATCACAATTCTTTGGGTTCTTTAAAGCCTATGAACTTTAATAAACCTGTTTCCCAACCTTACTTTTGATTTATAATAAGAGTAAACAAAATATAAGAATTAAACTAAGTTGGTTGGTTGTATACTTGTAGTCATAATCTAGCTATTTCCATTTTGTAATATGTTTCTTCTTCTAATCTAGCATATTGATAGTCTTTAACAAAAGATTGATCCTCCAAAAAAAACACGGTTTGCATTTTTCTCAAATTAAAAGCATCTACGATGATTTATTTGTGGAATCCATCATCCACCCTCAAACGTAAAGAACATTACCCCAAAATAACGCATAACTGACCTATTGGTAATTTCTTACAAAATAACAACAAAATGCTTAAAAAGGTAAATCATTATTTATTTTTTTCATTCTATATGTAATTTTCAATGGAATTTAAAAGAAATAAATATACATTCATTAGTTCTACTTATTTAGAAATTTGTCGGTAATTACCGATTGAACGAAAAAAATAAACAAATAATTATTTTAAATATTATTTATTTGTTATTATTTATTATTATTATATTTTTATTTTTATTACTATTATTTATAACATCATATTTCTTCTTCTTATTATTATTATTATTATTATTATGATTATTATTATTATGGTTTTTTAATTAACAATATTTATTATTATTATTATTATTATTATTATGATTATTATTATTATGTTTAATTTTAGTAAGGCTACTCGTTATTAAGGGTCATAACGCCTAATAACGTCTATAAACACCACCCCTCTCCAATGTTATTGCGTGTTGTAGGTATTCCCGTTGCTTCTCGTTTCCACCACAACATCAGGTAACGATGTTTTTTTAGGCTTTTTGTGCTAATAACGCGTGTGGGCGTTCCCACTCCTATCACTCTAATATTATGTTTATTCTTATCAGACAAAACTTAAAAAATGGTCCCTATGGTTTCACGAAATTTGAAATTTGATCCATAATTTTAAAAAAACCTCACGGATGGTCTCTATGGTTTCAAAACTTTTAACATTTAGTCATTTTGGCTCACTCCGTTACCATTTAGCCGTTAAATAAAATGCATTTTCGTCATCTTGACCACCGTGGGACCATTTATGAGGTTTTCTATTATTTTTTTGTTTTAAAAAAAGATAAAAATATATTAATATTCTCTCTCTCTCTCTCTCTCTCTCTCGACATGAGTTGTGTGCTTCTGTAAGCTCTAATGTGTGTAATTCTTCTCTCCATTTTCCCATTCGTTTTTCTCTCTCTGCATTTGTTGTGTTGCTAAATTCTCCTGTAAGAGTTTCTTCTTTTACTACTTCTTTTTCTTTATTCTTCATTCACCCATCCATCTAATCTGGGGTGAAAATCCCTCCAAGATCTCGAGCACGCAGAGTAGAGAGTATACGTCAGCAAAGGGTAATTAAGGGAATCTCGCATATTCCTGTAGCAGAAGCACTAAGAAGAATCAGAATTATAATCGGTTCAATCGGGGAAAACCCTCTTCTTCAAGGTCTCAACAGTGTAGGAGAACGCCCTACTTCTGAAACAAACCCATCGTTGTTACATTCTTCTGAAGCAGCAGGGGGTAGTCGAAGACACCATTCACGCCCATTCTCAAGGTTAATATCGGAAAGTGCTGCTTCTATTTCCTCCATTTCATCTGCCCTAAACAACGCAGAAATTGAAGATATTGAAACATACATCAATGATCGGTTTTGAGAAGAATAGATGCTTCACAGATTCTACCATTATAATCAAGAACGCAACACTTTTCTTCCAAATGGTGGTAATATTCAAGTTCAACTGGAGCCTCAGAATGCAGAGATGAATCTAAATCCAAATCCGAATCTTGCTCTCCGTGTTTCTTCTAGTTCTTCTCAAAGAGCGATTGCTACTACTATAGTGCATTTGGATAATCTATCAACTGATAGTGCTGTAGAGATTGATCTGACTATATCGCATCCTTCTTCTTCTTCTTCTGCTAGGAGAGCTGCTGTTTCAAGGGCGTTGAGTTTGGATGGTGGGACTTCCCATGAAGAAGAGGTTGGAGAAGATGAACTGGGTGGTGCTTCGTGAGAGAG